TAAATTTTAAGTTATTTATTAGCATTTCTCGCTTGAAGCTAGTAGCGCCCGAGCAACCAACAATCCCTCGTCTGATAAACTTAAACCTTCAAACTCGCAAATTCTCGACGACCACGATGTGGTTTCAGTTTACCCTTTCCACGATCGTTTTCTTCCAACGGCCTATCTTCTGTTAATGGCTGCTACCAAGGGCGTCTCTCCTGCTTTTAGACCTGCCGCTAAGAAGTCGGAGCTGGAGCTCATCTAAGTCTAGATGGCAAACCATTTTCAAGCTCTAGCCCTTCGGTGTCCATGTCCGTGTTGTCATCGTCCTCGGTCATATCGCTACCTAGCAAAACTTTCGTCACTAATCACCACGAGCGAGTAGGTCAGATGTCTGAGTTAATTATCCTTATAATGTCCCAATTTACTGACGTTGGCCATGCTTAGCATGATTTCAATCTAGAGCTGCTTACCGGTTTCATTCCCACTACCGTTATCAGCGCCGATAACGAAGCTTTCTCCTTTCGGTTGAAGACGCTATTAAATATTTCTATAGCGTGGATGATGTCTTCGATAACTACTTTCTGGAGATAGTCATTTTAATACGGGCCTCGCTAGTAGCCACCGAGCTTTCAGCTTTATTTTCGCAGTACCTTTGCTCGATTGGTGTCAAACGAGTTGGATTTGTTGTAGACCGCAGCTTAGCAGCAAGCAAAAAATTACTCGATGGGCCCTACTTCTCATCGAACGAGGGTCTCTTTCGCCTTTGGAAGCTATTCCCAGATAGCCAAAGTGCTTTCGTAGCATCGCTGGTTCAAACCCAGTCCTAGCAGTGAATGCTCAATATCTTGTTCATCTCCTACTTGCCTAGCCTAGATGATGCTAACACTCAAAACAAAATCAAGTATATGAATGCATCGATACCAGAAGCAGCACCCAATCTTGCGATCGCAGTGCCGTCTCAACTATACTACCCACCATCCGCAAACAAGCATCTCAACGGACTGCGGGTCACTATTAAAGACAACATTAACATTGCTAGAGTAAAGACCTTTACATCTTCGAAGGCGTACGGCGAGCTGTATGGGAGTGTATCACAGTCCGCCCCAGCTATTCAACGCTTACTTGATCTTGGGGTTGTGATTGTAGGGAAGACAGGCATGAGCCAGTTCGCCGATGCCGAGGATCCCACCGGCGACTGTGTCGATTTCCATGCACCATGGAATCCACGTGGCGACGGTCTTCGCTCTCCTGGAGGCAGTAGCTTCGGTGCTGGAGCTGCTGCTGGGGCTTACGACTAGATTAACTTCACCATTAGGACTGACAGTATGTTATCTCCCCCACTACCCTACCCAGAGTTCTTGTCACTCACAATATACAGCTGGAAGAAGTGTCCGCGTCCCCGCAGCAAGTCAGTCCGTATATGGCTTCCGACCTTCCAGAGGGACCGTCAGTATCGACAGTGTAGTGTTAATCCACAAGTGAGTATTACTCTAGCAATCACCAAAAGACAGCTCTAAGCGCGGCTAGCGATTTAGATATCATCGGCGTCTTATCCAGGAATTACCATGTTCTAGAACTTGTGTCTCAACATCTCTTTCATACAACGCCATCTATCATAGAGGACCATGCCGAGGACACTCGTCCAACGCTTATCTATCCCACCCATCTATTTCCAATCGAAGACAAAGCTGCTCAAAACATGTACGACAAGACTGTCTCCGCTTTAAAAAATACTGTTGAGCGTGAAGAGGTGCGTAATTGACTTTAATGAGAAATGGAAAAACTCTCAAACTCATATCAAAGAGAGTTTTGAGGATTATTTCGCCCCGGTTTAATCATTTTTAGCAGTATATAATATGCATGTATCCTTCTAGTAGAAGAATATCTAAGTTCTCTACGACCATTTGATCTAGGGCCAATACCATGAAAAGGCCACCTTCCGAGCCGAATACCAAGCAAAGTTTGGGCGCCAGCCCTACGTCAATCCACTTGCACAATTGAGGTGGATAAATAGAGCGCGAATGCAACCTGAACACTTCAAAAGTTATCCAAACCAAGCGAGAACAATTTGAAGGATTCATCGATGGCATATTTGGTTCCCGTTCTTTTATGGTGACTCCTTTCAAATTCGGAGAGCCAGAGGCTCGGGATATTTTCCGTCTGGCGTAGGTCTTTCTTCGACCGGAGTCAAATCACTGTTACTAAGCCCATCTACCTAGTCCTGCCGAGAGAGTCCGTAAAGAGTTTAGTTGGGGTATGCGGCCAGCGTTTCAAAGCCCAATGGCTGGGCAGCCCGAAATCGTGTTCCCAGGTACTTGATCCTCTAACCTAACACACTGCCAACTAACAGATTTACTAGTTAGCCAGCTTCCGGTGTTCTCACAGGCCAGCCACGTAAAGGAGAAGTATGGCGTTATTGCATCTCTCCTGGGGTCAAGAGGTTAGAAATCGCTTGCCCTTCAAGTGGTTGTGTAATCCGCTAACTTTACCAGATATGGATATGGAAATTCTTGAGACCGTCAAGTCCCAGGCTTACAAGAACCAGTTCTATGCGGGTTCGTGCTTGAATATCACTCAGGCGGGTCCCTCTTGAATCACATTTCAAAATGCACGGTGGATGAGCCATTAAGGATGGCCAATAAAATCAAGTGGATTCGCCAGATAATCTCATCCACGCTGATAGTGCAACGTTATCATGGATGAGAGAAATCAGGTCGTGAAGCCTTCCACTATTTGAAATGACAGAATGGATATATGTTGTAGGCAATTGGAGAATGATGGAACGAGTCAACGATGTTTCACCTCTGTTAGTCTATTATGCTTCTGGTATTTATTGATTCACATTCATTTAGTAGTCTGGTTAAATTGTTTTGGACGAAGAACGTTAGGGTAGTTAGGGTTGTCTCTCACTCCCAATGTACATATTAGTACCAAGAGAAATCACTTGTGCATCTTTTCAACCTATTAAAACGGAACTCTGCCAGTGAGAACAGTGGTAGGAATGTCCAATGCAGCCAAGAGCTTGCCCGTGGGTGACAATATACCAGGGTCGGCTCATGGTATTAGGATGCGGTGGCATTCGTAATAGCTCTCGGAGCTCGTGGTATATTCTTGCAACGACTCGTACTGCCCCTTTGAAAATGACCAAGTGTCCAGTCGGGAGCTTCACAAGGGAAATGGAATCGTGGAGTCGGATACCCACCGCAGTTTCTCAAGGTCAAGCGACGGAGGCAGCTCAATAGCATAAGATTTCCAGATCTCTCTCAGCCGAGACACGGGCAGGTACCTTCGCTCGAGCTGATACTTTAACGCAAGCCAGATCCCAGGTATTCCTTCCGCGACGGGATCATCGAGTCGAAATCCGGATCCCACAGTAATCGTCTTCAAGACATTCCAAAGATCCAAGCGCTCACTCCAGTTGTCAAGCCTTTTGATGCTATCTGCAGCTATATCCTCGATTTCAGTCTCTTCGATGCCCGTATGCTTGTAGTCCGATGCAGTGATCAATGTTCTTGCGTGGATTGAGATTACACCCCAGGTGATAAGGTGGTGGTGAATCCCTTCCTGGAAGAATAGGGGAGATGAAGACGGTAGGCGCGACCTCAGTGTCGAACCCATCAAGTCGCCAATGCCTTGACCTCGACGATGAGATTCGTTGGAAAATCAGACTGACATCCATCGGAAAGAAGCTCAAATCAATGAGTATTGATTTATAAGAAAGAGATGCTGAGGCTGAGTGGTAACGAAATAAATACAATCTTTCTTATTACTCGATAAGAGCGGCAGTGAAGACTAAATATAACGATGGAGATGCGGGTTGCAAAGAGCTTTTACAGTGTAGGAATGTCCAGACAGTAGCTCAGTCGACCCGTCCCTTATGTGTCAAGGATGCGCCGGGCGCTAAGGACGTTTGTTTTAAGCTAGGAGAGTGAAAGGATGGCCCGATGAGCCATAAGTCAACACCCCCCCCTAATCGGCCGCCCCCCTTAGTCGGCTATTTTTTTACACTAAAACAAGCACTTTTAAAACCAACATTATTCTACAAC